TGTGTGTGTGTGTGTGTGTGTGTGTGTGTGTGTGTGTGTGTGTGTGTCCTGAAAGCAGGGCTATTAGCAAACCTAAATTAGTGCTTAGCCAGTTCCTTACCCTTTCTGTAGGAGGCATGCTAGGATTTTGTCCTGGTGACTCCAGCAGGAAAGGCTGACTATTATTGTCTGCATGTGCCCTGTCTCTTCTCACACAGCATTACTCCTGTTGCTGTGGATTTTTCTTCACAAGTTGAACAAACAACCTCCCAGCACCGCCAGCATGGTCCGCACACTGCCAGCACGGTGCTGTAGCCTCGAGTAGGACCAGGGTGCACTGCGGCAGAGGAAGGCACAGGAGACAGAAAGGGTCATAAGGAATGCTGTGCAAAGATTGGCTTTGGAAAAAGAAACCATTCCCGCTGCTCTCTTTTTCTATCTCTTTATCTCTCATCTCTCCAAAAAAAGATTGGTCTTGGAGTTGATGGTGTAGCACACTCATTAATCGAAGCACTGGGTTGAGGGCAGTGGGCAGAGGCAGGCAGATCTCTGAGTTCAAGGAGAGCTTAGTCTACATAGTGAAGTCTAGGACAATCTGGACTACAAAGTGTGACCCTGTCTTGAAACGGCAAAACCAACCCTTGTTATGACTGCAGCCATCTCCAGCTGTAACTACCGTGGTTGTTTCCCAAGGTACACCCACGAATCACCATCCACAGTAGTTTTCTAACAAGTGATAATAGACAAGAGCTGTTAGGGCATGCAGAGAGCAGCAGTACAGCCTGGTACAAGGATGCAGCAACAGCTCTGGCAGACTCCTAAGAGAACTGGAGTCACTCCGGCTAGAATAAGGTCACGTCAGTCTCCATCCTCATACATGTCCTCTTTCTGGCCCACGTTTTGGGGCTCCAACCAGTGTCGCTCCTGCCTAGGCCCACACTTCTATCCATAAGTCCATCAGTAAACTACCCTGTGTACAGACCTGGCTCTGTCTGCCTCTCCCTCAGCACGCTGCATCAGTCCCTAGACACCGAGCAGTCTCACAGCGGATCTCTAATAAACTTGGCTCTCTTAAAGACCGTGGGGAAAATGCCACAAGGCTTACTTGTATGTTAACATAAGTGTATGCTGACGTAAACTACAATAAAGTAAAAACAACATAAAAGTGAAAAACTTTGAAGAAAGATAATTTTTGAGACCAGAGTAAAGGTTACATGGAAGAACAATAACAGAATCCTGAAAAGAAGACTGGCCAGTGGTGGCATACACCTTAAGGCCAATACTTAGGAAGGAGAGATGGGGATTTTTGAGTTCAAGGCCAGCCTGGTCCACAGAGCTAGTTCCAAAACAGCCAGGGCTATACAATGAAACCCTGTCCTGAAAAAACAAAAACAAAACAAAAGAATCCTAAAAAGAGGAAGGGAGCTGAAACCTATAAATTGTTCTTTGACCTTAACATGTACACAGAAATTAAAATAAAAATGTAATCAAATACTGTTGCTTTAAAAAAAAAAAAGATTAGATTATATAAGACAACATTTCAAAACAGTAGAGATATAATTATTATCTAATAAATGAAGCAAAATTTGGACTAGTTGATATTTGGAATGAAATGTCACAGGCTCTGCAGTATAAAAAAATGGGGCCCAGTGGGATCTAGAAAAGATCATCCTGAGTAAGTTATCCCAGAAGCAGAAAGACACACATGGTATATACTCACTTATAAGAGGATATTAGACATATAATATAGGATAAACATACTAAAATCTATACATGTAAAGAAGCTAAAGAAGAAGGAGGACCCTGGGTAAGATGATCAATCCTCACTCAGAAAGACAAACAGTATGGACATTGGAAGAAGGAGAAAACAGGAAACAGGACAGGAGCGTACTACAGAGGGCCTCTGAAAGACTCTACTCAGCAGTGTAGCAAAGCAGATGCTGAGACTCATAACCAAACTTTGGGCAGAGTGCAGAAAATCTTATGAAAGAAGGGGGAGATAGTAAGACCTGGAGAGGACAGGAGCTCCACAAGGAGAGCAACAGAACCAAAAAAATCCAGGCACAGGGGTCTTTTCTGAAACTGATACTCTAATCAAGGACCATGCATGGAGATAACCTAAAACCCCTGCACAGATGTAGCCCATGGCAGCTCAGTGTCCAAGTGGGTTCCCTAGTAATGGGAACAGGGACTGTCTCTGACATTAACTCAATGGCTGGCTCTTTGATCACCGCCCCCTGAGGGGGGAGTAATCTTGCCAGGCTACAGAGGAGGACATTGCAGCTAGTCCTGATGAGGCCTGATAAGCTAGGGTCAGATGGAAGGGGAGGAGGACCTCCCCTATCAGTGAACTTGGAGAGGGGCATGGGAGGAGATGAGGGAGCGAGGGAAGGTGGAATGGGGAGGGAATGAGGGAGGGGGCTACAGCTGGGATACAAAATGAATAAACTTAATTAATATATAAAAAAATCAAAATTTAATTAAAAAATGGGGCCCAAAACTTCTTCTACCAGAAGTTATGCCCGTTATGCCCTCAGGCATCTAGGGAACCCTATCCAAATACTAGAGGTCCCAAATGTTTCAAGACTGAGGCTCTTATACATTTTTGGCTTGTCTCCCAGATATGGCTACACATATTTTTATTGGCTGCTTTAAATTATTAGGCAGTGGTGGCTGGAATGAGAAGGGAGAGGAGGAAAGGGCTGCAGGAGAGATGTAGTCAGTCCGTATTCCAGGGGGAGGGCACTACTGACCCACCTACATGTCCACACGGACAGACCAGCCCATGTGGCTGTTTCCTAGGCTTTTTCCCTCTTAGCCCCTCCTCAGTAACCATGTGAACCTAGCATGGCGGTCCGTGTATGTAATCCAGAATTTGGGAGGTAGAGACAGGTGAGCAGAAGTTCATGCCAATCCAGGCAACATGAAACTGTCTCAAAAGAAAACGGGAAGGGGGTGTCACACGTCAGTGTTCGCTTTGCTGTAGGTGGATTCAGTTCCCAGAATAGGCATGACGGTTCACAGGCACCTGTAACTCCAGTTCCAAGAGACACAACTCCTCTTCTGACCTCCACAAGCAGGAGACACAGACATGGTGCAGAAACATACACAAATGCAGCTTATACACATAAACTATATATTTAGACATAGCGTCTGCGTAGCCCTGGCTGTCCCAGAACTCACTCTGTAGACCAGGCTGGCCTCTAACTCAGAGATCCACCTGCCTCTGCCTCCTGAGTGCTGGGATCTAAGGTATGCTCTATCACTGCCTGGAATTGTTGGGACAATCTCTTGTGTGCAGTGCAAAGGGGTCTCTGTATTATTCAGATGCTGATTTCTGTACCTGCAGAGACTTGAATACAGGTGGACTCAGAGATTATATTTTTATGAAGCATCACCTGTCTCAGTGTTTTGCAAACATCTTCTCCATCATCTTCTGATTGGCTTAATAAAGACTTGAATGGCCTATTGCAAAGCAGGAGAAGATAGGCGGGACTTCTGGGGAGAGATAGATAGGAATGTGGCTGGGGAGGGGTGTCCGCCAGCCAGACGCAGAGAAATAAACAGGTGCTAGGGCTGAGAGAATGAGAGGTAACAAGCCACACGGCAGAACACAGACTAGTATAAACAGGTTAATTTAAGTTATATGAGCTAGCTGAGCCAAGCTTTAATAGATAAATAAAATCCTCCATGTCATTACTTAGATGGCTGGCAGGTCAAGACAGTTGGGCAATATGGAATAAATCTTTTTATTTATGGCTAGAATGTAGGACTTACTAGTGAATATGATCGAGGTAGGACATCCCCGTGGAAGCCCACCTAAGTGACATGAGTGACCCCACAGCCACTGGTGAGGAGC